CCCCGGGGAAGGAGCTGCGGAGGGGAGCCAGATGTGTGCAGGGGAGCCAGATGTGCTGGAGGTGTTTGTGACCTGGCCTGCAGGTATTTAAGACGGCGGAGAGGAGGGTTTCCCGTCCTGTTGGCCGAGCAGCTGCCGCTGTTCGCGTCTATTTGAGGATAAGTACTGCCTTTAGACCCAGAAATCCGTCAAGATATGGCGTGACCTCGCATCCCCCCGGACAGACAGACTGACACGGGAGAAACTGCAGAGGCTGAAGCCAAACTGGCAGGTGTCAGAAGGGCAGGGGTGTACCTCGATGCTGATTTAGTGCTTTGTTTCTCTTTCAGGCTGCTCTTCCAAAAGCTACTGTATTGGATTTGTCCTGTAACAACCTCATTTCCTTGCCGGTAAGGTGCTAAGAGAGCCTTTGTGGAGATGAGTCTGCTGGGAAATATTTAGACTAGATAGCTAGTGCTTCAGTAAAGGTTCACCAGGAGGTTTGGAAACTGGCACCTTGCTCATCCTGGGGTGGCTGAATGACTCTGCTGTCAGTCACACGTCAGTGCTGGTTTTGGCTGAGGCACAAGAGAGAAAAGGGTTGCACTGCGTGGGGATTGCAGTATCCTCCTGCCAGAGGATCCCCACGTGAATACAGTCCAGTTTCATCAGCAGTGGAGACCGGGGTTTGTTTCTGTTGTATTGCCATACATCACCTTGTCTGTCTGTCTGTCTTATCTGTCCCACTGTTTTCCACCTCCATCTTCCAAGGCAAAGGAAGAGAGTGATTTTCCTCCATCACAGCTCTGTAGGAAGTTAAAGACTTGTGGCTTATGTAAGGTGCAGGCTATCTCCACGTACTCCCTGCTGAGGTTCCTCCGTAACCGTACTGATGAGCTTTCTGTGGGTTTTGTTTATGTTTGGGTTTTAGTCAGACTTCTGCAGTTTGATGCATCTGGTGAAACTGGATTTGAGTAAAAATCGACTTCAACAGCTGCCCCTGGACTTTGGCCGCCTGGTCAATCTGCAGCACCTGGACCTTCTGAACAACCGTTTAGTCACCCTGCCAGTCAGCTTCGCACAGCTCAAGGTAAAACTGTTTGCTGGGCAGTTACGTAAAGCTTTGGGATGCAGCCCAGGGTCTTGTGATCCTTCTCAAGTTGATTTCTCTGGTAAAGCATCCATCCTGCTGACTACCCATTCCAAAATTCAGCTGGCTCTGCACCGCAGCTCTGTGGAAATTATCTCGCATCCATTGAAAACATCTCTGCTCAAGCTCTCTGCTTGAGTTCCATACCTGTTCCATTCATGTGAAAATGAAGTAGTTCTTTGCTTCTGCTTTGGATCTCTTAAATAATCGCAATACTACTGTGCTCTTACAGCCTCCCCTGTATTGTTCCTTTCTGCAGAACCTGAAGTGGCTGGATCTGAAGGACAATCCCCTGGATCCTGTCCTGGCTAAAGTAGCAGGAGACTGTCTGGATGAGAAGCAGTGTAAACAGGCTGCTGTCAAGGTAAGGGAATCTGGTTTTATTCTTTTTGTCCTTACTTGGCTTTGTCAGCGGTGGTTCTTCTTTTTGCTTAGTAAGCTGGGTGGCTGCTGCAGCAGCTTGAAGTTTCTTCAGCCAGTGAGGTGCAGGTTCACAGCGCTGACTTCACTGCTTCTGTGCCTGTAGAAAGCAAATGCTGGTCCGAGTAGGATTCTCTTCCGTTAGTGGAGTTAAGAGAGACTAAATGCTGGTTGCCAAGAAAGTGGAGGCATAAACAGACAAGATAATCCATGTCTAGGCTTATAGTCCAGAGTACAAACACTTCTGGAAAAGTTCTGGCAAACTATAGGCTTACATAAATAGAAGTGTTCAGCGACCAGCTGGCACCAGTTTTCCACGTTTGGTTTTTAATGGAAAGATCTGTTTCTTAACTGCAAAGATTCGTGTGGGAAGATGGGAGCTCTCTTTCTCTTCAGAGCCATACCTGTAGGGGTAGGTCAGGGTCGGTGGTCAGCCCCAGCTGACTGTCCTCAGCTATGCTCCAGCTGTTCTGATTTGAACTGACTGTGCAGCAAGCCTTCTGCAGAGACCTCAGGTTGTTTTCTTGGACCTTGAAGGTGCTGCAGCACATGAAAGCGATCCAGTCCGAGCAGGATCGACAACGGCAACGGAAGCTGCAAGCAGAGCGAGGTAAGCACAAAGAGCCCTCACATGCTGTCTGCTGAGGACTGTTCTTGATCTCTCTTACACGCCTAAACTTACTGACTGCCATTTAACAAATACTCATAACTATAGAAATCCTGAGGACTCAGGGAGTAGTACAGTAGAAGGAATGGAGGGAGAAAGATAGTGGGGGGTAACTGCGATTTCTTCCCTGAATAATACTTAGATCTCTGGATGGTATTTGCTATAAGTTACCTATGACAAATAGGAGAGAAGAGCACAGGATTTATTTTAGGGGAAGCCTAATTCTGAGGGAGCAAAATGCATGGTATGCAATATTAAAAAAAAACCCAAACAACGAACCAGGGATAAAAAAAGAGGATAGTTATTTGATTGGTTTCCGCATTCCAGTTGGGAGCAGATAAGCAGGTAATAAGGAAGCAGGCAATGACAACCCTTTACATAAAAGGAAAAAACTTCCTGTTAATCCTCAGAAATGGAGAAGAAGCGTGAAGCAGAACAGCGAGCAAAGGAGGCTCAAGAGAGGGAACTGAGGAAGCGAGAGAAGGCAGAAGAAAAGGAACGCAGAAGACGGGAGTATGATGCTCAGAAAGCTGCAAAACAGGAGGTGGAAAAGAAAACTAAAAAAGAAACCGTGCAGACTCGAAGTAAGTAGTATCCGTTTTGGGTGGGATTGCATCAGATTTCATCTTCATCAGATTTTGATGCTGCCAGATTTGCTTTTGTGCAGCCCAGGTACTGGGAGATGGTGGGAGTCGGGGATGGGGGGCGGGGGGAACCTGTAGGACTGGCAATAAGCTCTACTGTGCCCTCTTCCCCTTCATCTGTGTTCCCAACAAACTGCTGAGCTACAAGATTCCGAAAGTCCTTCAGCTGTTCCTAAGGAGAACTTTCCTCCACTCATTTCTGTCTGACTATACTGAACTATATGTGCCAAACAAGATCTTGAGCAACACAGAGGTGCTTTACACCCCCTTCACCGCTGCCCATGAAACTAAATCTGAAAATTTTCATCCTCAACAGTTAGATCATGCACAGCTACATATTAATCAGAGTGAAGTGATGAAAATTCATGACAAAAGACCACTGCAGCACAGGCTACAGTATCTTACCTGAACAGCTTGGTTCTGAATGTAGACTGTTAAAGATATTTGATTAATTCCTCACGTCCTCTGTCTTGTAAATGTTCTCATTACAGAGCCCGCTTCCAGTTCTCGTCCTCCTCAGCCGCCCCGGCACAAGCACTCCTGGTCACGGTCGGTGCTGAGGGTCCTGCTCTTTGCGCTGCTGTGCGTCCTCTGTGCTCTGGCCGCCTGCAAGCTGACGGAGCTGCAACGTCAACCTCTGTGCATCAGTGTCAACACTCTCTACGAGGACGTGGTGGCTGCTCTGCAAAACCACAAAACCCTGCAAAATATGCTACAACAGAACTCGCAGCAGTGATTGTCCCGGACGGGCACTTGCTTCGTCAGCATCTCCCTCCACCATCTCCGCAGCCAGAATTCCTATGGAATTGTGTTCTGATGAAACTGCTTTTAATCAGTCAGCATTGGTTTGCTGTTCCACTCCACACAGAGCAGAGTTATCGTTCTGATCGTCTTTGCTGTGCATGTTTCGTAGTTGGCCTGTAACTCCCATAATTTGCCCACGTTAACCTAAACTCTTTAACGCCTCTGACCTCCAAGGGATGTTTACCTAGATTGTGAGATACAGAAAGCTGCCAATCTATAGGAGTGGAAAAAACCAGCCCTTGGTGTTGTCTAGGTACCTATAGCTGTATCCTGGAGGTAGAAGGTTTTTAATACATATCCATTCCTTGCTCTCATTTCTATTCATGCTAAAATTGGCAATATGGCTGTATGGGAATAATATATTAAGGCCTACTCCAGGACCAATTACCAGTGTGTAGGATGGCTGTGCATCCGTATGTTGGAGCGAAGAAGCTGATGTACTATTGAAAGGAGCTGAAAATTTTCAATACAACAGTTTTCGCAGCAATTTGTCTGAACTGGATGTTTATGTTGCTAATGCAGTTTTAATTTTAATTGGGTCTTTTAGAAACTGCCAAAAATTATTTCTGAGCACGTACAATAATGATTTCTGCCCACCTTTATTTCAACCTGCTTGTGCCAACCAAGCGGCTACAGGTTAGGAAGGGCTTCTGGCTAGGCTGCAGGCTGGTTTTGTGTCTGCAAGAGGGGGGTGTCCAAGCCCCACGGACAGAGAGCCCCACGGACAGAGAGCCCCACGGACAGAGAGCCCCACGGACAGGGGTCCTGTTGCAGGCTGCAGCAGAGGCAGGCAGCACTGGGTGGCACTGTGGCAGCGTCACAGGCTGGGGCGGGCGGGCAGAAAGGGACTTCTTCGCCTTGGGGCTGGTGGGAAGGCTGGGTGGTTTGGAGGTTTGTGACTAAAGAAAACTCGCCTGTGCAGAGGCCTATGAATTATTTATAATTTCCTGATGGAGAAAACCAAACACAAGTTTGTCATATCCTTAAGGGCTTTGTGAGTACTAAAACAAAGTGTACACATAATGTTGTTAAGTGCAGATTTCAGAGAATATCCTTGCCACAGACTCCGCTGAGACATCCTACATTAGTCACCAGAATTGCTCCCCCTCTTCTAATACCTGGGATTATTGCTGATAAGAGCAGTGCCTCGAGGAAATAATCTGTAGTATTTCACAGCAAGGTCATCATCGAAGCAGTAAGCCGTCATCCTTTTGTAACCTAATGCTAAGACTGGTTCCCGAGTCTTACACAGAAAAAAGCAACAGCACCAGTATCAGATAAAAGGAAAGAAAGGGTGCCTGTCTCTGGCTTAGCAGTACTTATGTTTTCTAAGCTTCGTTGAAACAGCTTTAGGCTTTGCTTTTGAGATCTAACTCATCACATTCTTTAAAAGGTCCTTGCTTACTATCCAGATATGTTCAGAAAAAAACAGCAGACAACATGCAAAGCAACGATTCCTCTCTACACACATTCCTGCCAGTGTCTGGCAGCAATCTGCTGCTTTGCCATCTAGGAGAGTGCTGCTTAAGTTCTCAAACACCAGGCTAATAAGATTTATCAATTCAGGTCAGAAGCGCGCTACTGGCCAGGCAAGGGCTCCTGCTGGATGCCTGAAGCTAGCATCGCGGGTGGGTATTTTTTCATTCGAGGCAGCACGGTTCCAAAGGGTAACTTCCACACATTGCATGCAGTTTAATTCACTCTCAGCACTCATCTCGGTAAGTGCTGCCATCGCCAAAGACCTCAACCGTCCTTGTGCGCACGCAAGTGCTAATGGCGGCGTGGACAGGCGGGCATGTTCCCCAATCTAATTAAAAGAAAGCTTTTTCTGCCAACTGGTTAGACCTCATAATTCCAGTGCATATAATCAGATTTCAAGACCCTCTATAGATTAAACCGTCTGAAGACTGAATCAGGGCAGTCTAAATTTATATCTGAAAATTAGTCTTACTCATTCCCATCTGCCACAGCGGAAAACTGAGAGTCTATTTTGTGAGGTAAAGTTCTTCCACCTCACTAGAGCAGGTGCTGGGGGGGCAGCACCATGTTGCTTTAGCATGAGGATTTTTTATGCTGGCAAGAGAAGATAACTACTTGCAGTTCAGGATAGCAGTAGAAAGTATTCCTTTCAACAGATGACGTACCTGTCTCTGTTCAAGACAGCACGTTAAGAAGCAAAGATTATTATTATTCAAAACTATTTATTTTCTAGGAAGACAAATAAAAGGAACTATCAGTACTATAAGCTGTGTCCAACTCATGCTCTTATGGAAGATGTTCACCATCTTTCTTGTGTAAACTCCAGCCATTCAGCAATTTTATCCAACCTTCTCCTGCTACAATAAAGTCTAAATGCATTTTAAGTCTTTAAACTAGGATCAATGACTCTATTTATTATCTAAGCACTTCTTCCCATAAGGAAGCTGAATATTTAAACCAGACAAACAGTAAAATCCTCATTCCCTGGGGCTACCCAGTGGAATCCAAATAGAGATCAGGATCGGGGGAAGTCATCTGCAGATAGATTCGTCGGGAGAGTTCTGGTCCGATCCGCCGGGAGGTGGCTGTCACGCCGTCACCACGGTGCACAGGGATATCAGCCAGCATGTTTGTCCGCTCCTGCTCCGAGGAGCATCGGCTGTAGGCCTAAAAGCAACACAAAGGAACAACGGTATCATTCATTTGCATCCATTGCTCAAAAAAAATAATCAAAGCTATGCACCTGTGACTGCTCTGCCCTTTCACAATGTGCGCTCATTTTTCACCTGGCCTCTCCCCAGACCTCATTTGTGAGCTTACTGGCTGATGCAGAACCAACACTGCTCCCTCAGTAGTCGGCTCTGTAAAGCCAAAGCAATGGGTGCCAAGGAATCGGTTCCTTCACTGCCTTACCAACAGCTCATACAGAATCATTGTGTCAAATTTAATACCAATTGAATGATTTCTTCCACTCCTTACCTTAGCTGTCTGTCTGCATGCAGTATGCGGTATTCCTGAGGCACCCTCACCTGGTTCAGAAGCTGCGGAGAAGGGTAGGCAGACACAATAGCCTCAGCCATCTCGAGGCTGACCCGGTTAAATTGTTGTATCTGCCTCTTCCAAACTTCCAAAAGCCCCTTTCCGGAATGATCCACCTTCACCCCTCCACACCACCCCTTCTCCAAGTAGAAAGAGAACCCCGTCTTCTCTCGCTCTCGCCTAGGGAGAACAAAGCAAATGAGACAAGGAAGCTATGAAGAAAATCCTATTCCTGCATCTGTTGTCACACAGCCAGAGACAAAGAGCCATTTCTCACTCTGTGCTGTTATAGACACCACTGGCATCAAAGTAAATGCCAAAAATTTGACCATACTTTCTTTACATGCATTACCAATTTCTTTGTTTAAGAGTCAGGTTTCCTACTGAAAAAGAAACAATCCTGTACTGGGGAGCAATCCTGACACAAGCCAACACGCATACAAAGTGGTAAACAAGAATTTGCTTTCTGACTATCAACCATGATAAAACACTTTTCCATGTCATTTTTAACAACATCTCATCTCTTCTCATGTCTGAGAGGTAAAATACAGCAGATGCTGTGATAGGAATGCTAGGATTGTGTGAGACTGCACAAGATGACTTTCTTAGCTATCGCTGTGCAACATGCTGCTGTCCTTCCTTATCAATGGAAACAGCTAAACGGTTCATTCTCAGTAACGCCTCTCTTGGTTACATACTGAAGAAGAAAAGCTGGTGCAGTAAGAGCCTAGCCCTATTTTCATTCCCTTCCCACTCCTAAAATCAGACTGAGAACAAGACCTTTGCTTGATGTTGTACTGAAGTGCAGCCATGTACCTGCTATTCCCTCCCGGTAACTCTGAAAGTGCAGCCTCTCCAAAGATATGACCAAACCTCATCTGCTTACTCACTTGAACGGTGCTTCAGCTACAGCTTTTGTGAACATCATGGCAAATTCTCCAAACTCCTCCCAGCTCTCAAAAAAGCTGACTTGGACTTGTTTGTCCAGCTGCAGATCCACCAAGGCCTGTAAACATCATTAGAAACAACAAATGGAATAATTAATCTTGTCACATCAAACCCCACTATTGTCTGAAACTAAAAGGGTCACGGCATCTTGCTATAGGACAAGAACATCCACTCTCTCCCCATTTTGGGAGCAGTTTATTTCAGGCACTGAAGTATTTAAGGGCAGGCTGTCTCCTGCTGGTTAATATCAGTTTGGCACCATTTCAGCTGCTGTAGCTCCTCAGTGGCAGGCTCTCATTACACACACTGATGCGCTTTGCCAGCAGGCCACAAAGGGCGAGAGATGCTAACTGGGACTGATGTCAGAATCAAGGTGAACGAGATACGTCAGTTTGTGGGAGAGCAGGTACGTACCCAAGCAGTGGGGAACTGAACCCAAAGAGCTCTGTCCACAGATACATGTACTAATGAAGGCTGAATGCCTCCATCCAAGAAAGTGTGTGATTGGGTCAAATGTTCAAAAAAATGGCAGACAACAAGAGATGATGGCTGCATGCCTGTTTTAAAGGTACTCACTTCTTCCACATCCATTCTGGTTATCCCCAGCCCAGAATCCTTAACTTCCTGTTTTCTCCATTTTCCCTGTTCCTTCGCTTGGTTTCCACTCCCTGCTGGGTGTCGCATTCTCTTTTTTGACTGAACTCCAAGAGACCTAAGGAGAGTAAAGTAATACTGGGAGTTCATGCTCTTCCCCAGGTATTTCCCATTGGTCACTGTGGTGACAGGCTGGATGGACCTTGCTTCTGTTTCTATATAACAAACAGCGGAGCAGTTCTGGGTGGGAATACTTCTTATGCTCCAGTCTTTGCTAGAATGAATTAATGTAAACACCTATGGCATTTTTCAAGGCCAGAGACAACGCAGAAACATTTGGAGGGAAAAAAGTTTAACCTGAAATAATTTTCTACTTCGACTACTGCCAGTGCCAGAATTTTTCCAGGCATTTTCTCCATCACATGAGCTACATAGCTCTGTAGGGTCTCCTTCTGTCCTTCTGTGCACCCCTGAGCCTCCTGCAAAGATCAACAGAAAAAAGAAGTTAAATCATTCTAAGATACACATGCAAGCCCAGCAACCTATGGCTGTGATTCTACAACTGGGTCTGCAGATGAAAAACACACTGCTCTTCATGGGCAAGCAGGCAATACTTGATCCAGTATAAATTATGGCAAAAAAGAAATAAAAAAATAATCCCACTTGATCTGACAACGTTACCTCTTCAAAAATCTGTGAAAAATTCTAACTAGGAAAGCTTGTCAGAACTTTGCATTATACAACCCTAGTGTTTTTGATCCAATAGTGGCTTCTAAAACCAGATCTCTGGTTTACTGAAACCATGGCTCCATCCCACATCAAAACCTTCCTGCCGTGAAGAGGGATGACAAACACCACGCTTACAGCAAGGCATGTTCGAGAGGACAAAAGTCATAAGCACTCTCACTTGTTTGTAGTTGTGAACCATGGACAAAAACTCCTCCAAGCGAAGCAGAACCAGGACATTTGGTTCTTCTGTCCATTCATCTCCTCCTTCCATCTGCTCAGATATGAAAACAAACAGCCAGACCAACAGTCTGTTTATAATGCACTCAAACTGGTGCTCCCACTCAGACCCCTGAGGCAGGGAGAACATTTGAGGGTGTTTACTTGGGTTGCTAAATACGATTACTAATGCGTGTAAATAACAGAGGAAGGGCAAGAACATCGAGATTTTGCTTGCACACCTGAGATGACACAGTCTTTCTCCTCCAGGTGATGCTGCATGGAATAGCCTGATTCTCAACCACACAGGAATAATTTGCAGCCTGCAGAGCACTAAGGATGTGTCCACCACCTTCTACCTGCAAAAGAACTGAAATCGGTGCGTGGGTCAGGCCTCCACAGAGAGCAGACAACAGCCAATACAAGGCAGATGCAGGCTGTGAGGACAAGTACCTGGATCTAGCACCGCTGTTATGTATTTCTGGCACTCCCCTGGTCGCTGAGCTTTCAGCATCTTGGCAAGGGCCTTCTTCCTCTCTTTTTCCTGCTCCTGCTGCTTCCTCTGTGCTTCTCGCTCCTTCCTCCTCTGCCATGCAGCCTGGCAGATTGCCTCCCTTTCCTTCTGACTATATTTTAGCTTCTTGGGAGGGTGAGATGTTTCTGGGCTTACTCTGCTTCCCAGGGGCCTATTAGGCTGGTCTGCGGAGTCAGACTGAGGGGCTGGCAGCAGGCGCAAGGAGGGCCTCTCAGCACCGCCTGTATCATTTTGGGCCTCCCCCAAGCCGCTTCTCTAGACGACAGCAGGGCTTCCTGCGGCCCCCCACTGCCAGGTGCCAGCAGGTCACCGCCAGCACAAAGGCCAGCTCCCCCTGCTACATCCCCACCGCCCGGCTGGAGAGGCTCAAAAGCCGTGTCCCTCTTTGCTTCCACCCTCCTCTTGATCCTCTCAGGCAGAGGGACGACCTCAATCACCTCTTCCTCATCCTCCTCCCTCTCCTCCTCCTCTTCGCTCCCACTGCTCACCACCACAACCACCCCTGCCGCCCTCCCCGGTTTGGTGGCGGAAGATGAGGACCGCCAGCGGCCCAACGCGCCGAGCAGTGGCGGCGGCTGTAGCAGGGAGGATAAAGTAGGCAGCTCCTCCTCATCGCTCTCCTCAGACTTCTGCTCGCCCTCCGCCATCCCGCTTCCCCCTGAAGTAAAGCCCCGAGCGCCTCAGAGAAGAGCACAACCGGTACCCGC